TTCATTTCTCAAAAAAGAAAAATAAAAGAATCTCTTTCTCGTGGTTAAAAAAAACTATTTCCATCACCTTCTCTTTTTCTAAAAGGCATTTTTTTCTCGTAGTTAAATAAAAGAATCTCTCCCACGGATTTTATTATTTAATTATTATTTTGCACACTTTCCATCCCTTTCTTTGTCTATTTCCCCTCAAATTTGGCAGAATTGGTTTTCCACCCAAAAAATACTTCTTTCCGGAGCTTTAAAAGAACGTTCCTTAAAACTTAATAGTGAAACCAACATAAGAATAAAAAATCCACGGAACATTATTTTTCCGTTCTCTGACATGGTTAGAAGGCTCCATGGGTTGCTCTGTGAAACAAACAAATAAAAATTTGGATATTTTTATTGGTCTATCTATGCTATAAACGACCACACAACTCTTTATAGGAGTATGGGTATGCAAAAAACCACGTGGCAATGTGGAGTTCGAAAAGTACAACTCTAAAAAATTGATTTTTTTTAATTAGTAAGATGCAGTTACGGAACTAGAATTTCATCTTATCTAATCGATCTAGTCTTACTTTGAGTCATCTAATAAATTGAAAACAATGCTATTTAAGTATGATCCCGTGTGATGTGACGGTAATTGGTTTGACCGGGGGTAAATAGGTGATTTGGAAGATAAAAAGTCAAAACCGCAGAAGGCTCAAAATTCCTCGGTTAACCTATGTTGTCAACTCAGAAAGAACCGTTCAAGTTGACATTCACCAAAATTATAAGAGCCTCAAAATTTGAACACGCGCTAACAAGGGGCCGTGCGTTTCAAATTTCTCGGGTTGAAAACCTCGGGAATCACTCTCAAAGGAAAGTTTCTACACTATAGGGGGGGATGATTTTTTGGGTGCCCCCTCCCAAAAAAAAAACCCCCTAGGATTTTCGAAAGAGGCTTTGCTACAGTGACCCAAAATATAGGATCAACAAGGGGAACATGTGGGATGTCCCCCTCCTATTGCATAATGAGCTGGACTCATTATGTAATAGGAGAGGGACACCTCACTTGTACCCGCAGTTGGTCCTATATTTTGGGTCATTAGAGAATTTTTTTTTTCCAAAGAATTTGAGCGACGGAAATAAATCTGCTGCTTTTGATACCCCCGCCCCAAGGCTAAAAGAAGTTGGGTGACATAAATAAATTTAGGTAGAAGGAAGGGTTTCCGTCTTTTTCGGGAAACGAAACAAACAACCCCTAAATGATGAGAAACCATCTAACGGATCATGTCGCAGGGATGGATGATGCGTCAGGTAATACCAAAGGAATAACTATCTCTACGCGTTCAAAGAGTAAGGATTCTATTAGAATACCCTAGAGGTTAGGGGAATTATTTAGGGACCTTCACTTTACTGTTTATAGTCGCAATGGACAAATTTTACGGGTTGCTGCCTACGGTCAATGAAGCCGAGGCCGACTCGATAGATGGGCTGGTTTTATGGGTCAACGTTACAAGCTAAATATTAACAAGAGGCCTTAGACCAACTAGAACTAGCCCATTACGCGGATAGATAGGATAATATTAATTTTTATTAATTTATGAGTCACTATACATGCCCTTAGCCCACTACAGGCAGCCCACGCTACATTTCTACTTAAATTTAGTGGTTTTTTAATCTATGATCAAAGGTTAGGCTTTAGCCCAGTTTATGGGAGCCCAACATAGATTCATATATTACCATATGCATTTTCCTAGCAAAAAATGTGTAAAAAAAAGTTTTTGCACAGGAAGGACAATAATATATGAGAACTACAGACTTTAACACAACAACTTTAATCCAACAGTAATCGCTCTCCATAATTTAATTTCCCATATAGCAGTAAGTCAACTTGTACGGATGAAAGTTTGCTACTCTTGATTCTAATACGTGGATTCACTACAGTATTATTCTATTGTTTTACGCTGATTCTTTTCTAACAAAAGATAATGAGCCTGTACATTCATTAAATTTTTTTCCTAGTTAGAGAAAGGGGGAAAAACCAAGAACTAGAAATTGTTATGTCATCCTTTTTTCTCGTACTCCTTAAAACACATCTTACCGCTCATTATTATTCTAATTTAGTGGAAGAAAAATTCCTCAATGACCTAAAATATGGGACCAACAAGGGGGGCATGTGAGATGTCCCCCTCCTATTGCATAATGAGTTAGTCATCATTAATGATTGACAGCTCGTTATGCAATAGGAGGGAGATACGTCACATGTCCCCCTTGTTGATTCCATATCTTGGGTCCCTGTAGCAAAGCTCATAGTGGAAAATAAGTCAAGCCTATCCATATCATCGTTTTAACCGGTAAGGTTGATAAAAAATAATCTAATTTCAGGAATAAAACAGAAGAATTTAATCATTATCCAAAGCAAGGAAAATGAGAAAAAGGTCCAAATAGATACTTATTTTTCATGGAAAGTACATGTTACCGTGCATAAAAAAGATGCGTACTTACTAGAATAAAGAATTTTAATAGTACCACGTAATCCTGGAAGAAAACTTACTATAATAAACAATTTCAATAGTTTGCTTAATTTTATAAATAAAATCCTTTAATATCCTAATCAACTTTTGCAGCTTATAAATTGGATCATAGACGTTTTAATAGTTGCTTGTGCACAACTTTAGTTGGAAATTTTATATGTAAGGGGGATTCAGACATCATGAGATGACAAAGAATCTTGCTCGCATATGCTATTTTGATCCCTTTAAAAAATATATATATATATCCATTTCAGTTTCAAACCCTCTAAATTAGAATTCAAGTCATGAAATATATTTCATGATTTTTTAGTAAAACCAACAAAGCAACTCCTAATTTAAGTACAATGTTTTGGGTCCAAACCCAGGTGAGAAGGACAATGTTTTGCACGAAACCAATATGATTATAAACGTGACTTGCATGATGCTACCTTACAAACACCTACAAAACGACCCATAAAGGAACCTCTTTGCTAAATATAGAATAATTCATAAGACCATCAACAGCAGAAGGGCAAATATTGCCCTCCACCTCAGCTTTTGTCCCCACCAATTCAATATTTGCTTCCCTCTTTTCTTTCAGCTCCACAGCAGAAAAGCAAATATGTACTTTTTTACTTTATCTATACCCCACCATATTTTATCTTTCATCTACATCACTCTATCATATACCCCACCAATTCAATATCTCAGATTTTTTTTGGTGTCCAAATGACACAAACTTAGGCTCTATTATAGTGCTTGAAAAATGAAAAATATTGATATAAAAATTAAAAATTAATTTTAATTAATTATGGGCCAAAATAATAAATTACAAAATAGGAGGATAAGAAAATCAGGTGTTTGTAGGTGTGGGGCCCACAAAATAAGGAGGATGAAGATTTTTTTAAAATTTTGTTTGCAGGTGTGGGGCCCACAAAATCAGAATTGCCCATGGGCAAATTTTGCTCTCCATTTCCTTCTCTCTCCATTTGCTTTCCAATTTGCTTCACTGCTGCAACACATATTTTCACATTTGCTTCACTGCTGCACATGGTCTAATGAGCGTCAATGTTCACGGTATTAGTCTGAATCTATGTTCTTATACAACGACAATGATGTACTTTTACTTTTCGATCGGTAAATATATATTAGATATTAATTAACAGTGGATCATTGTCGTATGACATTTACGTATTATCTCTCATGCGGAATGCAGCCAGAAAATAACTGTCTTTGAATGTTGAGTCACAAACAATCCAATTTAGAAACATCGTCTTGTATCGATAATGTCAAATGGACCCTCACAAACTAGTTTTCATCAAATTCGTATGTGTAAAAACAAGTAGAATTAAAAATAATTAGGGTTTCCAAATTGGGCGCTATGAACAAATGTGGGACCAAAGAACGGGTTGAAGGTTTGGGTGCTCGGTTCATGCGTCTGTGGTGAATTTCACGGGAACTGATCAGGGGCTTCAGCGAAACTTCCCAAAGTTTTGGGGCGTTTTCAGCAAGTAAACGAAAAGTACAGGGGAGCTTTTGCGAAACTTACCAAAGCCAAATAAAACAAGAAGCAAGCGGGTTTAAAATCCAGCTAGGTCCGATATTAATATAAAGGAGACCGAGACCTCCACGTTGTCATTGCCAACGACTCCTCGATCTTCTCATTTTTCTTCCGCGGGCGAGAGATCGGATCTCAAGCGGATTTCGCGCTCTCCGACCCGAATCCGGTAAAACTCCCGGCGGTACAATTCGACCTCCTCTCATTCCTCCATTGATTTAGCTTTTCTTCTCCGTTTACGATTCTGGGTTGCGGATCTTGAACAATGCGGGGCGGATCTGGAAGCACCCTTTTATCCGTTCCGTTGGAACGTTTGGATGAATTTTGTTGTTTGGTTAGGGTTTGGATGCTTCATGGGGTTTTTTGTTGATTAATTTGGGATTTGTTTGGTTCTGGTCGTAGCTGTTAGATTTTGGTTCTTTTTTGATTACCTAGGGTTTTATTTTGGTGTGAAATTTATAAGATTGCTAATTTTCTTTCTGCGAAAAATAATCAATTTTGTGTTTTACGACCAGATCCGTTGGAAAAGCTTGTTTCTTTGTTAAAGCATTTTGTTGTAAAACTAAGAATTGAAGAAGTCTCTACTGGGTCCGAGCATTTCATGGAATTATGGTCACTTGTTCATTTTAAATATAGGGGATCTGGTGAAATGTCACTTTAACCACTGAGGGATTATTTTCTGGGTTAAAAAGAAATGAACTTTATCTGTAATTTTATCCAATCACTGTTAGTCAATAGTTTCAAGACATTGATTTGGGACCCATAGTTTTCTTGCTCTTCTTTTCTTGAATATTTATTTATTGTTTCGTGTTATAGGTATTTGGCAATTTAGTCTAGGTCCATTCTGCAAATTTTGCGAGTTCTGATTGATTTTATTTGGTCAGCAGTAAGAGAAGTAAAATTTGTAACAATGAAGGCACTCATTCTTGTTGGAGGATTTGGAACCCGTCTGAGGCCGTTGACGCTTAGCGTTCCAAAGCCGCTCGTTGATTTTGCGAACAAACCCATGATCTTGCATCAGGTATATATGCTTTGCTCTGTCTATATGAATCATACTTTGGTTGTGTCGAAGTTTGTGTTATAAAAGGATTTTTTTTGCTGGGTAATTGATTGATGGCGTTGAGTACTTATGTTTCTTCTTGAAGTCAAGTGTTTGCGGAACGACAGTTAGGAACTGACAATGGATTTGTTGTGCTACTTAACTGTATGAGGGTAAACTCACTCTGTTGATAATAGTATTCCTATCCCTTCAATTACAACTCGTTGATGTGTGCTCCTTTTATAAGAAATTTCTTGTTAAATCAACTGCAATTTATCTTGTAAAGAGGAAATTAGAAAATCTTGGGATGGTTCTACTAGAAAGGGATAGCAGACGTGATGTAGCATGGAATCATAGATGGAAATAGTATGTGAATGTACGAAATACTTACATAGCTTGTAACGTTAGTTATCGATGAAGAAGGATTCTAGTTTGGAGAAGGCATGATTGTATGGCTGTCAGTGTTCGTTAATGAACCTTAACCTTCAATTTGTGCAAACTGTTGATGGTGCATGCTTATAGATTAATTGTATATGAATTTCCCTTTTCTCACTACTTTTTCAATAGATATTTTGGATGATTCAATAAATTTAGGTTCTTTAATTGTGTGTCACCTGGATCAATCCGTCTATTTTTTTGTGTGTTTTCCCCTACTTATTATCAGATTGAAGCCCTGAAGGAAGTTGGTGTAACAGAAGTTGTTCTCGCCATCAATTACCAACCAGAGGTAAGATCCGGAATTTCATGTCTAATGCAAATCTTTCTTTTACTTATCTATCAAATTTGCTTACCCCTTCGTTTGTTTCCAGGTGATGCTCAACTTTCTGAAGGAGTTTGAGACTAAGGTTGGCATCAAAATCACTTGTTCTCAAGAGACTGAACCCCTTGGAACTGCAGGTCCCTTGGCTTTAGCCAGAGACAAGCTAGTAGATGGTTCTGGTGAGCCCTTCTTTGTTCTCAACAGTGATGTCATCAGCGAATACCCTTTTGCCGAGCTGATCAAGTTCCACAAATCCCATGGTGGAGAGGCAACTATTATGGTAACAAAGGTAAGATAAACTAAATCATGGGTAATGTACTATTCTAATGTCAATCATTTGGCTATCGAACTAACTTTCATATCTTATAGGTAGATGAGCCTTCGAAGTATGGTGTTGTTGTTATGGAAGAGAAAACTGGAAAGGTCGAAAGATTCGTAGAGAAACCCAAAATGTTCGTCGGCAACAAAATCAATGCTGGCATCTACCTCTTGAACCCCTCCATCCTTGATCGAATCCAATTGAGACCCACCTCAATCGAGAAAGAGGTTTTCCCCCAAATCGCCTCTGACAAAAAACTCTTCGCTATGGTTCTACCTGGTTTCTGGATGGACATTGGTCAGCCAAAAGATTACATCACAGGCCTTAGACTCTACCTCAGCTCTTTACGCAAGCAATCATCTTCGAAACTAGCTGTTGGTCCTCACATTGTGGGAAATGTTCTAGTGCATGAGACTGCTGTGATTGGAGATGGATGCCTTATTGGGCCGGATGTTGCAATTGGTCCGGGCTGTGTGATTGAGCCTGGGGTGAGGCTATCAAGGTGCACAGTGATGAGGGGCGTTCGAATCAAGAAACATGCTTGCATCTCTAGCAGCATCATTGGGTGGCATTCTACAGTTGGGCAATGGGCTAGGATTGAGAATATGACTATTCTCGGCGAGGATGTGCATGTTTGCGATGAGGTGTATAGTAACGGAGGTGTTGTGCTCCCTCACAAGGAGATCAAGTCCAGCATCCTGAAGCCTGAGATTGTTATGTGATTGGGTATTGGTTGGGTGGGTGGTTTGATTCGGTTTTAGCGAGTGTAGTTGTTGTATTTATGTTTAAGAACTGTTTTGAGCCTGGAGTTTGTAGATAGAAGTTAGAAAGTGACTTGTGTAACGAGAGAAGGGTGTGCTGCTGGCTCGCTTGTCAGTTCAGTTGTGTGTGTATTGCATTGTTTCTTTTTGTTCTCCTTTCTTCATGCATAATAACAACATCAAAACTTCAGTCTGGAGGTTTTGTTGAAACTGCTGAGTCGCCGCGAATGGATGGATTTATAAATTCTCTGATGTCTAATTGATTGAGAACCATAGCTTTCGCGTAGCGTACTCATGACTTTAGCATTTGAATTTGGTGTATGAAGATCAAAATGAATAGTGTTGAATCTGTTGATTGTCAACTTAGGGTAGAGAAGATTGATTTCTGTTGTCATATGCAGGAAGTTTTTATCCTAAAGTAGTTGATGCCGTTCATCTTTTATTATTATTAGGGATAAATATTTTACTATTACTATTCTATTACTGCTACTAATATTATCCCCTTCGTGGTATTGCCTAAGGACTTGTTTGGATTGAGGGGAATGAGGGTGAATGGAAGTTAGGGGAATCATTCACCTCCATTCACCTTGTTTGGGAACACTTAGAAGGAGAAGTTAATTCACCCTAGTTCTCCTTGGTTCACCCCCTAATAGTATAAAATTTGTTACCCCCCAAATTGGGGTGTAACCAAGGGGAAGGGAACTCCCTTCCCTTCCATTCCCTTCTCTTCTCTCAGTTTCCCTTAACTTCCCTTCACCCCCTACAAATCCAAACAGGCCCTAAATTAACTTGTGTAGAAGTTGTTGAGGAGGATATGAAAATGTTTCAGCCTTAGTAGAGGATATATATCCTTCACAAGTACTTAATGGAAGAGTATGACTCAAACAGCCGACTCTAAAAATTTAGGATAAATGTTTTGTTGTTGTTGTTGTTGTTATACGTTTTTAGAATTTCAAGAACACCTCTTTGGGAAAAATGATAATAAAGGTGAATAACAGAAATTGTCAAGGAAAATAGTTATGTTCATTAACATTACTTTATATGCCTCTCATACATTATTCTTGAATTATCCTCCTCATTTTAATTTGACGTAGTCGGTAGTTTTGTTAGCGCAGGGAGGGCATGGAGGTTTTCCTCTACGATCAGTCCGCCTTAAAACAACTATATATTGTTTGACAAACAATATATTGTTTAGAATTTCCATCTATGCCTTGATGCCTCCATGCAGTTGTTCATCTCAGTGTTGTCACCTACCGAGGACATGAGATAAGTTTTCATAAAAACAAAACTTTACGTAAAATATATGCAAAAAAATAACATGAATATAAATCAACTGGGATGTTGTTGACGTGTCACACATGTAGGCTAATATTATAATCTTAATGACAAAAAAAATTCAAACCATACGTGAGCTAAGAGCATGAAGTAAACGAACAAAGGAATTTTATAATTAAATTTACATGATGCACCTAGATTGATGGATACGAAGCTTTTCCAATAAAGTATTAAACACTTCTCATTGCACATAAGATGACTTATATTGATTTATTTAAACAATAAATATCATTTCATTAACGGGATTGAATAAAAAATCATTAGAGGAGGAGTTTTACTTAAACATGCCAACAATAATTTTCAACCAAGATAATTAATGTCTATCTTTGATAATGTGTAGATGCCTGCAAAACTTTTTTAATCAGATATGTGATTTTAGATTTGATATAGAAAAAAATATGTGCCTAAACATGATTAAAAGACAGACCAAATAGCTTCGTTGATACAAATATGAGTGGAGGAATCAGATTCATATTCCCAACGGACAAATTTTTAAAACCTTCCTGTTTGCCAAAAAAATCCCAAAAAAAAGACCCGTTTTAAACTTAATTTCAAAAACCGACTTGTTGTGCTCAACGAAAATTTCGGCAACATCTCGACAGCACCTCGGCGCAACAAAAGAGTAAGATCACAATAGGAATTCCCGTTTCACCAAGGAAACAAGAACCAAAAGCAAAATATCTCAACAAAGTGGGATATCAGCTCTTCCTCTCATCAGTTCTAGGACTGACCTGTCGAGGAAACCTAAATAAGCTATTACAAATCACACAAACAGCGAGACAAACGAATTTTACGTGGTTCGGTAAATTGCCTACGTCCACGGGGCAAAGAGGGAGAGATCTAATATTAGAGAGAAAGAGAATAATGGTTTACAATCACACAAAGTCTCACAAATAAAACCCTCAAACAATATCTCAATTTCTCTCTCAAAAGGATGCTAAAAAAACTCTCTGTCTTTCACTCAGCCAACTTTTCTCAGCCGACTTTTCTCTTTGTGATTTTCACCCTGTGAATTTTCCCCGCACAGAACCCTAGGAGATGAGTGGCTATTTATAGCCTAGATGCAGTCAAAATTTTCGAAACTTGGGCCTCACAAAAAAAAAAAACCGCTAAACTTGTGAATGTGGCCTTGCAATCACGTCCCTGCAATCACGTGGGTGTGGCCCACCACACACGTTCACACGACCCAGTTGGGCTGAAACTGGGTCGGTTTTTGAAAAAAAAGTTTCCAAACTTCACGGTTTTGAAAATTCAAAACAGGTCGGTTTTGAAAATTTGTCCTATTCCCAACTCTAAAATTCTGATATAGAGATGGGACAGAGGTGTTGTGGTTTTTGTTGATACACCAATTGAAAACAGAAGGGTCAGTCTTCCTTTTCAACCAAAAAAAAAAAAGGGTCAGCCTTCTTAGTTGATGCTTGTTGTCCTTTTGGATTCATATTCTCTCTATAAGATTTATATACGTTAGCAATTTGATATAACGTTAGGAACTCCTGTTGATGACTTGTAAACACAATGGATCTAGACAATAATAAAAGAGTGATTTTGGGACTGGTGGGTTTAAAAGTTAAATGGGATTAGAACTGTGGGTCTATAAGCAAAAAATAATCCAATATTCAATGACACCCGAGAGGTCCACAAGAAGCAGAGAGAGAGAGAGAGAAATCGAAATGGCGAAGTTTTCCAGTCTGAACACAGGAGCAAAGATCCCCTCTGTGGGCCTGGGCACTTATAGAGCCCAGCCCGGCGTCGTCGAAGATGCTGTCAATTTTGCTGTGAAGGTGGTTTTCTTTTCTCTCCTCTCGCTTTTCCCCCCCTTGATTTTTACTTTTTCCAGATACAGAATTGAGATTATGTTGACTTGATTTCCATGCAGGCTGGTTACAGGCACATCGACTGCGCTTCCTATTATGGGAATGAGAGGGAGGTATAGTTTCATGTAATTTAACTATTAACTGGTTTTCTACTGATTTTAGACATATTTCACCAGGTGTTTGTAGAATTGTGCGAACGAAATACCCATGAATTTTGATGGAGATTCTGTTAAGTTACACTCTAACCATTCACACCAACATTATGAATAAATTGGCGTACGAGTATATTTTAGACATAGAATACTCTAGGGTAATCATTTTGTTGGAGTTGGCTCAATTTTCAACTCATTTATTGCTGCAGTTTTTCTGCATGCAGATACAATTTTACATGGTCTTTTCAGTCATGATGCAGTCATTATTTGGCTCTGAAATCTACATGAAAGTTGTAGAGGTGCATGTATAGTTTACTCCAAGCTTTGAATCACATGAAACGAAGCAGTATTGAGGGAGTTATGGTCAGTCAAAGTACCCTACTCGAATCTGGACATATTTGTGTATTCCTAAGCATTTTGGAAGATGAAAATGTTCATCAATGCCTATAAATAGGCATCCTCTCATTGTGGAGAGATCATCCAAAAATCACCCAAGTTTTCCACTTGTTCTCTTGAAAGTATAGAGAGTTAAGAAAGAAGGAGGGTGTGTGAGGGCTGTGTGGAAGTCGGCGTTGTTGGGTGTGCCGTGTGTGTCTTGTACCCATTTGTTGATTCCATTATAGTGAAGTATCTTCCGAGCTCCAAGCTCAACCCGTGGTTTTTCCCGTTTGGGTTTTCCACGTAAATCCTTGTGTCCATTATTTGTATGATTGTTTTTTATCTTTTTGTCATTAAGAACAAGACCCTGAAGTGGTGTTGAGAAGTTTTGTGATTCGTCAACACCAACACATTTGAGCTTTGTCACCAGTTTATTCCTATAGACTATAATATGCCAAACTTAAATAGAACTATACTAGGCCATACATTTGAGGAAATAGGATGCCGGATTCTGAGATTGAAAAACATTCTTGAACTAAAATTGGTAGATATTTGTATGCGCGTATAATGGTAGACTTAAATATAAAGTTGGGGTCGATACACAATAGTCTCAGCTTTTAGGTTAATGTGCTAGTTTTTTAATTATCTGTAATTTTTTGGCATGGAACACAGTTCATTCCAGTTTATGGATGTGAACGGGAGCATAGTGTGTCACTTATTTGGAATCAGGGACAAGAGGATAGGCTTATAATGTTTTCTAGGGAGCATTTGGTTTTTAAATATAGGAATCTTAGGTTATGCAAGAGTTAAATTCAAGAAATATATTAGTTGATATCAATAATAGTAAAAGTGTTGTGCGCAGCGGAAATTTCGGCAGCACTTCGGCAGCACAACAAGAGTTAGGTCGCAATAAGAATTCTTGTTTCCCTTCAGATCCTTCCAAGTGTCAGACGGTGCTGTCCCCATTGCCTCCAATACGTCCAATGCGAGGTTGTATCAAAACTCTTGTTGTGCGCAGCGGAAATTTCGGCAGCACAACAAGAGTTAGGTCGCAATAAGAATTCTTGTTTCTTAAAGGAAACAAGAATCTGAAGCCTATATCCTATCAAAGTAGGATATTAGCTCTTCCTCTCGTCAGCTCTAGGACTGCGCGTCGAGGGACCCTAAAAGCTATTAAAATTGGTTGTACTGCTTTTGTGTGATTTGTAATAGCTTTTAGGGTCCCTCGACGCGCAGTCCTAGAGCTGACGAGAGGAAGAGCTAATATCCTACTTTGACAATCACTCACAAACTAAACCCTCAAACAAACTCTCAAATCCCTCACAATATCTCTCTACAAAAGGATGCACAAACCCTAACAAAAGCTGCTGCTTTATCTTTTGCACCCGCCACGAATCCCCCCCCCCAGCCGCCAAAAGAATCCACGCTCTCCTGCAACCGCTCTCAACAAAAAACCTCCTGCGCAAAAACCCTAGGAACATACTGTTCCTATTTATAACTGGCCAATCAATGCACGCGTCAATCACGAGAGAAAAAAAAAGAAAACTTCGGGCCGAAGACGCGTTCACAAATAATGTGAACTTCACGCGTTCACAAATAATGTGAACTTCACGTGGGTGTGGCCCCCACATAATTGCGGTTCACAATTCTCCACCTCGGTGAAGTTTAAAGAACCATAGAACAATATTGCAATTAAGGTGTACATACTTTTTCATTTCTTTACTTTTCTTAAAAATTATAAGTAAAAAAAACTGGTTTGAAGTCTTAATCAGGTGGTTGCCAGAGTTGGTAAACTGGACTGGGTTCCACCGCGATCTGGATCATTAATATTCACCCATTATGTGACAATTGAACCCGAGTCCTGGCTCTATATGCCGTCACACGTTTCGTGCAACTATGACCTATAACGTTTACACCCATACTCAGAGATTGATGTTGTCTATGCCTGTTAACTGCCAGATTGGTTTAGCTTTGAAAAAGCTCTTTGCAGATGGTGTTATAAAGCGGGAAGAACTATTCATCACCTCCAAACTCTGGTTAGTTTTTTTAATCATTTCTTGCACAGTATGACCGACTTAGTGATGGTATGTAGAGAAAACTAACATTATTGATACCATTATTTGACTGTTATAGGTGCACTGAGCACGATCCAGAAGATGTGCCGGTGGCATTGGATACAACATTGAAATGCCTACAACTCGACTATATTGATCTTTACCTTGTATGCTCCTCTCTCTTGTCAACATGTAGATGAATCTAATGCTTGGAATTTTGCCATGCCGATTTCTTTTTGATATAAAAACTTAGACCTAAGGCCCCCAACGTGCCCCTAAAAGTGAAAAGGGAAATATTTACCATGGTTGAGAGAGGCATATGTGAAAACTAACATGACTGACCCCTCAGAAAAAAAGATTTTGTATCCCGTCAAAACAATGTCCAACCAAATGTATGCTATAATCCACCTTATCGAGGATATCAATCTAATCCACAGTACAGAGGATTCGTGAAATTGTTGAAGACAAATGTCTGCCAAATATTCAAGTAGTGTTACCTGGTTGACGATCTATTCATAATCATTACGCTATTGTGTCTTGATTCAATGTTTTAGTTCTTGGCTGCAACAAATAAAAAATTAATTTACGACCCTTACGAATTCTGGACCTTGTTTTCTTCGAAAGTTGCCTTCATCATTGATTTCATTAGAACTTTAATCGTTTACAAATGAATTCAAATAACAAAAATAAAATTTACAACTTTCTTGAAAATAAACGCAAGATCCGTTTATCGTCTCTTGCTTGCGTGGGTCTTTGGCCTGTGACGGGGACGTCGATATCCGTGGACTACCTGGCACTCAGATCTGTTCCAGAAAAATCGGACAGAGCTTCGTCGATCCGCGAGGAGATCTAGAAGCTTGAAGCGCCTATCTCGGCTAAAACGAGATATTTGCTATTCTTAGGATTACCGGCGAAGGGTAATACTAAGGAACGGACACGGGTGATGAAGAATCTGATGAAGACCTCTCCTCTGTTGAAGCGCTCGACCACTCTTCACTGCAGCAGGGCTTCGCCAACTCTCCAAAAAAATCCAGATCCTCAAAAATGAGGCCTAAGGTTGCTATTTATAGGCAATGGGGGCACCTAGGATGCCTAGACACCCCTGGGGTGTCTAGGAAAAGCCTAGACACCCCTGGGGTGTCTCAGAAAATCCGAGACACCCCTAGGGTGTCTCGGAAATTTCCGAGACACTTCGTCCGAACTCGGATTTGAGTGATTCCAAGTGCGTTGGAAGCTTGACGAAGAGTTCGATCCGCTCCGATGGTTGGATTATCTGTAGAGTGATCGAGACGTGAAGGTCATTGTCCTTTTCGTGAACATCGCAGGGTTCCCGATTGGCCCGTGCCTTCGCTATTCCGAAATCACCCTGTTTTTCATTAAAATTATACCCCATTCGTTTCATCAATTGGATGGAATTGGGTTCGTGATAATGAAACTGAGGAACTCCATCGTCTTCCTCTGAACTTCCTCGCTTAAGTTGTTCGGGTTTGACTCTGCCGAACTGGATCGGCTTCTGCCCTTTCCTTTTGGACGGGACTTTGTAGAAAGCCTTTTGTGCGTCTTCCACTTCTTCATTGGAAGCGAAAGATGACTTGATTGGCATTGTTAGACATGCCTCTGTGCACAATGCGTGCCATGAGTGGGTACCTGCATCACGATCATTTACTATTTGTCCAACTTTAAAGGATTCATCAGACAAGTACGCCAAAATAAAATCTTCATTAATGCACCATTCGCCCTCACTCGGTACATTATTATTGTTCTCGACTGAACCAATTACATCAAAGTTTAACTCCCATGGACAATTCCCTTGCGGATCTGGCTCGACATCAGCTTCATTGCCACTGTCAACATCTTCTTTCTCCTGAGATTCCAAGTAGAAAACAGAGTCGGTGTGAAAGTTTTCTACCCCTCGGAAAGGATATTTTTCCGCAATCAGGGTTCGAACTTCTCCCTCATCATTAGCATATTTCATGACCTGATGTAGGGTAGACGGGACAATGCGGTTTGCATGTATCCATGGTCGTCCTAGCAAAAGATTGTAGGACGTGTCCGCATCTATGATGTAGCATGCTACTTCAGACTTAAGATCTCCGATCTGGCACCTGAGTTTGATCTTCCCTAGGGGTCGAGTACTGTTGGCGTTGAAACCAAAGATAGTGGTCTGGGTAGTGTGCAACCGATGCATAGGAATCCCTAAAACCTGCATGACCCTGTAAGGCATAATGCTGAGTGCGGAGCCCGGGTCAACCTGGACACGACTGATTTCAGAAGATCCGATATACCCTGTGTAGTACAGTGGTCGGTCATGTTCGTGTTTGACCTGCATGTCTTCTTGTGTGAATGATATGCAGGGTAGACTTCTCGCCGCTTGCAGGCATTGCAGACAAGTTTGATCATCAGAAGCTTCAGGAACTGGAATGACTTGGGTGATGAAGCTCTCTGTATTCTTCAATGCCTCAATGAGAGCTTCCTTGGTGGTTTTGGACAACCTCAGGAGCTCGTATAGAGTAATCCTGGCCGGTATGTTGGCCAGTTGCGCCATGACATTGAATTGGAATGGATTGCTCGACTCCCCGTGTTCCTGGTGGAGATTCCTGTTGAACCGGAGTTCTTTTTGTTTCCCCTTATCCGCTGGCTTCTTCGGGACAGAACCTCCAGCGTCTTGGGGCTGTTCCTCGACTTCTTGAGCATTCTGGCCGTAGTCTTTCAAGTAAGTCTTTCCAGACCGAGTGCCAGGGTGATCTCCCGGATATGCTGCCAGGGCAATCCTCTCCTCTTCTGAATCTGTAAGGGTTTTGAGGTGGTCATCATTCTCAGTAACGGAGGGGCTAATCATGTTAGAAGACTTAGCCTTGCCTCCTTTCTTCTTGGACCAGGTATTCGTCCACTGTTGGTCCTCCACTAGATCAGGGTGGACCCACATGATTTCTCCTTTGGAAATTGTGAGGGGTACCAACCCCCTGTCCTTCTGATTGTGTAAGTCGGTGTTTTTCAGGTGCATCTCCCCTTTACGGACTGGGATGACACCGTCTGCAGCAGCTACAGGAGGAAAATCACCGAATTGGACCGCAATCAAGTTAGTAGATACAGTCTTCTGCTCCGGCTTCAGAGTAAGTACATTAGCATTCACCAAATTTTGCAAGATGTCCTTGAACACATAGCATTTTCTGGTAGGATGTCCCAAGAACCTGTGATAGCGACAGTAATTGGGGTCATCTATCTTCCCTGCTTCATCTGGCTTTCTGATTTCGGGGAGCTGCAATTTATTGTTCTTCCGAAGTAGTTGGAACAGAGTGTCCACATGCTCTTCTTTGAACGAATACTGCTTGGGTGCTCTTTGCTGATTGGGCGTCTTGCCTTGCTTAGTAGGCGGTGGGACTTGCGTGTAGTCAGCTGCTAAAGTCTCTTTTCCCTTAGACCGCTGGGCATTGTTCTGATTGCGTTGTTGCTGCGGTTTGGGTTGTGGCTCTTCTTCAGCTTTTATCTGAGCGACAATCTCTTCAGCTTGCTCCCCTTGTGAAACTAGTTGTCTCCAAGAGCGACATTCTGCTACTCCCATCTGGGCGAGGAGCTGAGTCTGCAGGTTGTGCCTGCAAGTTTCAACTAGAGTTGATTGGGTCATACCTGATGGGCATCGCAATGCCATGCTACGGAACCTTTCCACATAGGCTTTAATAGATTCTCCCTTCTTTTGCTTTGTGGCGAGAAGAGTAGGAACCGAAACCTCTGTGTCATCTTCGAAGAATCTGGCCAAGAAAAGCCTTTCCAAATCTACCCACTTCTGGATAGATCCAGCAGGCAGTTTCATAAACCATTCAAAGGCCACCCCTTTAAGAGTGCCGATGAACAAGCGCGTCAGAATGGCATCATTGGCTACCACATCTCCTGTTTGAGACTTGAAGTAGTAGATATGCTGATTTGGTGACCCTGTACCGTCGAAAGGTTGTAGCGTTGGAGCCTTAAACTTTGGTGGGTAGGGAGCCGTATCCCATTCTGCAGGGTAGGGTCGTATCACTCCTTCCTCGCGAAGCTCGCTCCTGTTGGCCATTGCGTTAAGGCGGGCTTCTAGCTCGTCTACTTTGGTTGACTGAGGATACAGTTCTTTTTCCATCTCCTTCTCATTGTCAGAAGAAGAATCTAAGTTGTGAGTCTCACGATCTGAGTGTTCGTGCACCTTCTGCTTTCCTTTTGACGTAGTCCTCCGGGAAGACTCGGGTTTTTGCCCTTTTTCAGCGAGAAATTGGACGAACATATCCTTCAATTGGAGAAGTGTCTCCTGTTGTGCCTGGAGCATGGTATGATGTTCATCCACTCTTTTAGCTATGTCCTCGGGATTCGTCGTCATGTAAACAGAAACTTTTTGTGCTCCAACAGAGCTTGAAGATTGAGATTCAGCTATTGCCGAATGTTCATCACTTGTCGTAATCCCTTGGGCTAACCTTTGGTAATTAACCGGGCGGATAGCTCCAGTCCGTGACCGGGTATGTCGATATACCCCTTCGAACTCGTCGCAAATTTCTCGAACGGTCGGGGAATGGCTTCTTTCTGATTCATCGGAACTGGGACACGGGGCTTTTCCTCTACTGGTCATGTTGATGGTAACCTGAGGGTATTCAGCTTCAGAAACTTTCTTCTTTTGACGTCGTCGTTTGGTAGGTCTTGCGACGTCAGTCAATCTGTCGAATACAGATCTGCGAGGTTCAGGAATACAACAGTGACATTCGGAAAGGACTGTTGAAATAAGCCGTTCGCAATGACATGGATGGGCTGCTCGTTGCGTTGGCTTTTCTCTGGAAAGCAACTCTCGCAAATCTGAGACCCGAGGACAGTTCTTCATCGGGGATGAAACTCCCTGTTCTTGAGTGGGTGAAATTGGTTCTTGTTGAACCTGACGGACCCTATTGCATTCGGGCGTCGAAGCGTGAGGGTCGCGTTTTGATTTATAAACACTAGGCCTTGGCCTGCGTTTAGTTGAAGGAACAGACCCTTTAGGGTCTTGTTTTGTTTGGACGCACTCTTGAGGTGCTTGTTTTCCCTTGACAGGGCTGTGTTTTGATTGGACAACGCACCACTGAGGGTCGCGTTTAAGTTGAATCACCCGAGGTTTGTAATTGGATTCATTACCTCGAAGTGTGCGTTCGCAATGCTTAGGCAGATCTTCGGGGACGCAATCCTTGCGTTGGACTCGGGATTGATTTTCTCGGAGGTGTGCTCGTCGGATGGACCTTCTTCGTCGTCGAGCAGCGTTTTTCTTGGCTTGTTTCAAAGCCTTAGTATCAGCAACACCGGCGTTGATTGTGCCTATCTCTGTCATAGGCCTTTTACAACCAAGTACACGCTGTGTCGACATAGGCGTGTGATCTTCGGTTTGCAGAGCGAGCTTGAGGCTTTGGCCAAAGGAGAGGACTTTCTTTGGCGTCTCAACAGCAGT